GCGAGAGAGCGAGAGAGAGAGAGAGAGAGGAAGAAGAGAAGGAGGAGGAAGAGGGGGAGGAGGAGAAGAAACATTACGAGAGAGGACACAAGTAGAAAAAAAGAGGAGAGAGAGAAGGAAAAAGGGATGAACGAATAAGGACAGTTTGAGAGGAAGGTGGAGGAAACAACATATGGGCGGAGTGATGGCTGACGGGAAAAGTCAGAGGAGGAAAACTAGATAACAAGGAAATGTAAACAGCAAAAGGATCAAAGAAGAAATGTGTGTATTTAAAATGTATCTGAAGATTTCACCCACAAGTTCTTCTGTTTTAATGTCGGACTTGATTTGTTTCCCTCTTTTGTAGTTTGTCCCCATGAGAAAACCACATGAACTAAAAAAACAACATGCTCACTTCAAAGGATAAGAAAATATAATATCAACAGATTACCTGAGAAGACCAAAACCACCAATGGTTGCTGAGTGCCACAGACAGGCTGGAGAAGTCACAAACTATTGAGAGACAGACTAACGTTGATTTTGGTCTCAACTAGGAAAACAGATCACAAGTGTGATAAAGAAAACCCAAATAATGTGATCACAAGCTCAATTTACATTATCGTCGGAAAAGAAAGTCACAATCGCATTGTACACCGTTTAACATCACAGGAACAAATGTAATTCAGAAGAACAAATGTAATTTAGAAGAACAAATGAGGAGGCTTTGATATAAATAGTATAGAAATGAGAATAATTACAACATATAAACAATTCTATCCAAAGAAATACACATATAATCCAATTCAGACCTGAAAGAAAATAAGTAACAATAGAAAAGATTTACATTACATTCCAAAAAACTTGCTGTTTCCAAGGTCAAGAAGTCTTTGAAGTATTTAGAAAAATCTAAATTGAACTATATAAAAATGTCATGACAATTGAACAATCTTCCTACAATTGAAAACACCAGAACATCACATCTGCATTATTACCAATTACCTAACCTATAACCTTAAATCTTATTCCTACGCCTCAACTCCCAACGTGTCCCTTTAAAGACATTGGATCTTGGAAGATTATAGTGGCACAGAGAAACAAACACACACACACACACACACACACACACACACATGGCTGCCACTGTATCCGCTGCACAGATGGTAAAGGCAGCAGCCCCTTCACACAGACAAAGGGAAGGTAATTCTCTCTGCAGGACGTGAACAGAGCTGGAGCTGGAAAAGAGCAGCACACATCAACACTCCCCTCCCTATTTCCTCGTCTCAGCCCCAGGCCAACAAACATCACAGGAGTAAACTGACATTGTGTGCGTGTGTGTTTGTGCGTGCACAAAATGTGTGTGTGTTGCTGAAATAGGCTTGAGGAGGAGAGACAGGAAAAATAAGAGAAGAGAGGGGGGAAATGAGAGAGAGAGGGAGACTGTAGAGAGGGAGGAGGTAATAAACAGGATTAGTGCTTATCTTTACAGCACTGTGTGTGTGTGTGTGTGTGTGTGTGTGTGTGTGTGTGTGTGTGTGTATGTGTGTGTGTGTGTTATGCCCGAGGACAGAGTGACTGACTCCAGCATTACCTTAGCCAGTGTGTCTCCCTCCCAGGTATCTCTTCTTTCTGGACTCCCTCTGCTTTGCATGTGCTAGTACACAATGTACTCTATGTGTGTGTGTGTGTGTGTGTGTGTGTGGAAATGCACATGCCTTTATTAAAACAACAGTTACTCTGGCTATAGTCCTTGTACTTTGAGTTTGTGACTGTTTGTGTGTGCACTGCAGAGGTGGTAAATACATGTACTCACAGTATGTGTGTTTGGTGATACAATAGTAATTATGTTATGCTGTGCGTGTGTGTGGTGTGTACACGTGGTTTTTCATGTGATTGTGAACATACCACTGTATAGTGTGTGTGTGTGTGTGTGTGTGTGTCTGTGCAGCTGCCTGAGAAAAAAGAGGGTACTCACCTCCTTGTTGCCTCTGCAGTTTGTCTTCACTGTCTGAACTGACAATAAATCTTGTGTGTGTATGCACAAGCACATGTGTGTGTGTGTGTGTGTGTGTGTGTGTGTGTGTGTGTGTGAATGCTCAGAAGGTGGATTTAGTTGCCATTATAATGCTTGTCCAGCCACATAGCGCCATTGTATGTGACAGTGTTTCTGTTTGTAATCTCCTACCTGACCAGAGCTAAAAGGCTGCTACAGCGTCTCACTTTCACTGGATGGGGAAGGAGGAATACATTTAAATAATCAGCGGTTTGGGTTCATGGCTGATATTATGCCTCGCTGCTTTTGTAAATGAGCATCTGTGTGCGAACAGAGCATGTGTGTGTGTGTGTGTGTGTGTGTGTGTGTGTGTGTGTTTATGTGCATCTGTTTTTGAAGACATCTGCGGATGTCTTAGTGGACAGTATCCCCAGCACTACACTCTTCTTCACCAGAGATGAATGGACAGAGAGCAAGAAAGCAGGAGACGGATACAAGCCGTGCATGCGCTGGTGTGTTTGTGTGTGGCAGCGTCTGCATGCAAATGTGTGTATGCTTGCGTGTGTGATGGATAGAGGGCTTTATGAGAGAGGAATAGGCTAATGACCAGGTCTCCAGAGGCAGTAAGATTCCTGGAGCTATTACTGCCGGAGTTCATAATGGCCTCTGTGCTCGGGCCTCTTTTACACGCTGCTTAATGGGGGATCCTACAGTCCACCGCCAAGTATAACCTACCCAGAGAATACACACCGCTGTGCTCTTTGACCCCAACACTGCGTACAAACACACACACACACACACACACACACACACACACACACACATGCGCGCACACACCATAAAACACACAGAGCAGCACATGTGTGATGAGGTTTATCCTCTCTTTCATGCACCTGCAGATGTACACACACACGCGCTCATGTGTAAGATTTACAGTTTATCTTCCTCTCAAATGCACACACACACACAAACACACACACGCGCACGCACACACAAAATGCAACCTGTATAGGTCACAAAGGATGTAGGTGAGACACCCACCTCAGAGAAAACTGAGAGTGTCTGCCTGCAGTACACAGCCAAACCATAAATCATGTCAGGCTAGTCTCACTAGTCTCTGCAGACACACACACACACACAATCGTTCACTCCCCCTCTCTTCTTTTGTGTAGGTTTGAGTACAAGAAAGAGGGATTTGGGGATTATAGGGGAGCCTCACTTTTTTCTTTTCTTTTTCACCGCTTCCTTCAGTACTTGCTGTTTCCATATAGCAAAGTAAGGAAGTAGGGGGCCGCTAATCTGCGTGCATGTGTGTGTCTGTGTGTGTGCAAATGTATGTGTCTATTAGAGTGCATGCCTGCCAGTTTGTGTTTATGCAAGCTTGTGTGTGTGTGTGAGCGTTTCTTTTTTTTATTTTTATCACTGAACGGATCTCAGGGAAAGACTTGAAGGAGACAGTCTATTCATTGAGGAAAACATCAAGGCTGTTTGATGCTACTGCGTGTCTGACTTCTTAGAAATGCAAGAGGAAGGGATGAAAGAGAAGGGGAGAAATAAAAAATGAGAGGGAGGAAGAAGATGGACAAGGTAGAAATCTGCACTCGGAAGCGCAAATCGATGCAAAACAGCTGTTAAATAGCTGCAAAGTGGAGCAGCTGCTTGGGAGATGTGGAGAGAGGGATGGGGAGATGAAGGGAGGAACGATTAAGAAAGAGGGAGACCGGGAGACAGACAGAGAGGCCCAGGGGAGATGTTGAAATATTAGACTAAATGAAGCAGGCTGAGTGAGCTTATGATGACAGATGAATGGTAATAAACATGTTATTACCTGATACTTCATTCAGTATGTTTGTGACTTTAGAAGCAGGGGGAATTATTTTCTCCTATATGTGTTTTAATGTAAGATTAGTTAGGCACTCCTGATCCTGAGAAAAAAAAAAGAATGACAGCTACAAAAAAAACTAAAAAAATATCTTGTTTTCTTGTCAAATTATTATTTCAACTTTTATATATGTTTATATCTGTAATAGATCAGATGACTATGTGTCATCTGAAAGGTGTACTCGTAGTGATGAACCCACAGATAAGTGTGAGTGATGAGTGTCTTAGCGTCCTTCAGTTCATTGTTTTCATTTTAGCCGACTTTACTACACGTCTCAGCTATCGTCATTGTTTGTTTCATGCAAAAAAGCTCAGATAAAGCCCCAATAAATCCATTGTGTGCCATCTGAGAGACAAGGTCAGCAGCTAGCCTTTGAACACAGTGAACCACATCATTTTTCTCAGAAGTTGGTGGAGAGCAAATCAGATACAAGACGAGCCAATGTTGGACTAAGGCCGCCTAAAGAGGTAAAAGTGATGAGTTCTTCTTCACCAGACCAGAATCTTTTCCCACTGATGATGATAATGGCAGTGGTAGAAGCAGTAGAAGCAGCATCAGCAGTAGCTCAGTAGTATTATCACAAGGAGTTAAGTTGCACTGAGTGTAGCAGCAGCAGGAGTAGCTGACTTGAACAGATCTGATTTTCTCCAGTAAACATGTCCAGGCAGTGAAGTATCAGCAGTCTGGGGCCACATCTTCCCTCTCTCCATCCCTCCATCTCTCCAGGGAGCATCAGTGGAGCAGGTGCTTGCCTCCTCCCCACCTCCCTCCCTCCCTCCCCACTCATACCCCACCTCTCTCTCTCTCTCT